TTAACATAAAAGTATCATTTCAAAATTGGATTTGTCTAAATAAAATGAAAATCGAAACAATTATATTACTCACTGGAGTTTGAATATCAATCCCTGTGGGTTCGACACTTTTAAATTCTTCACTATATTACAAAACTTGACACCGTACACTTGCGGTTAAACCACGTTGCATAAAACGCGTGGCAGAGATATGGCAACATTACTTGTGGCCCAAGGAGTTCGTGATACACACCGACCATGAGTCTTTGAAGCACTAGCGGGGTCAAGAGAAGTTGAACAAAAGGCATACCAGAAGGATGGAGTTTATTGAAACATTTCCTTACATCATTCAATACAAGCAAGGTAAAGAAAACATAGTAGCAGATGCTTTATCGTGAAGGTATGTCTTGCTAAATTCACTAAGTGCTAAATTACTTGACTTTTAACATATTAAGAAATTGTATGAAAATGACTTATATTTTTTCGAAGCTTATAAATCATGTGCCAAAGGGGCTGTTGATAAGTTCTTTAGGCATGAAGGTTACTTGTTTCGCTAAAATAAATTGTGCATTCCTAATTGTTCAATATGGAATTGTTGGTAAGAGAAGTACATATCGGTGGATTGATAGGGGTATTTTGAGGTTCAAAAGACCTTATAAATGTTAGGAGTACATTTTTATTGGCCTAAGATGAAAAGTAATGTTGAAAGAGTATGTAGTTGATGCATCAAATGTAAACAAGCTAAGTCAAAGGTATTACCCCAAGGGTTGTACAAACCTTTACGAACTCTTAGTGAACCATAGGTAGATATTTCTATAGATTTTGTTTTGGGTTTACCTAGGACTAAGAATGGACGGGATTTGATCTTTTTGGTGGTAGATAGATTTAGTAAGATGGCGCATTTCATATCGTATCATAAAACTGATGATGCCACTCACATAGTGGATTCGTTCTTTAAGGAGATAGTGTGCTTACATGAGGTCCCTAAGAGTATTGGGTCAGATAGGGATGTAAAATTTTTGAGTCATTTTTGGAGAGTTTTGTAGGGGTAAGTTAGGCACTAAATTGTTGTTTTCTACAACTTGTCATCCACAAACCGATGGACAAACTGAAGTAGTCAATAGGATTATGACTCAAATGTTGCACACGACGATAAATAAAAATTTGAAAAGTTGGGAGAAGTGTTTGCCTTTTGTTAAATTTGCATATAATCGGACTTTTCATTCTACTACTTCGTTTTCACCCTTTGAAATTGTTTATGATTTTAATCCACTAACCACATTGGATTTGATACCTTTACCTGTGAATGAACGTTTTAGTTTGGACGGTAAAAAGAAAGCCGAATTGGTAAAGTCACTCCATGAAAAGGTCCGGATGAAGATCGAGAACAAGAATAAAATCATTGCATCGCAAGCAAACATGGGCAGGAAAAGCGTGACATTCGAACCAAGTGATTGGGTTTGGGTGCATTTCAGAAAAAAGCATTTTCCGGAGCAAAAGAAGTCTAAGTTGTAACCACAGGGAGATGGTCTATTTCAAGCTATCGAGAAGATCAATGACAATGCATACAAGCTGGATCTCCCAGGTGAGTATAATGTTTTGACTACATTTAATGTGTCTGGTCTCTCTCTTTTTTATGCAGGTTCAGATTTGAGGATGAATCCTTTTTGAAAGGAAGAGGATGATATGATCCAAAAGCCGAGCCCAACGAAAACAAGTCCAGGATGAGACCCATTGATTATTGAAGGTGGACCGATGACATGTTCTTGAAAAAAGCGGGTAAATCAAGTGATAGGGTTACTTGTTTACTCAATAATTGATGAGACGATGATCGTGGCGAGAAATGAGGCAAGTTCCATGTTGGGATCAAAGACCGGAAACGATTAGGCCAACTCAATACACAAGGACAAAGTTGGAGGCACAAAAATTGAATTGTGCAACCACACAGTATAAAATATCATGTGGTCGCATGGTGGCATTTAGAAATTCAAAAGAGGCCAATTGAAAGACCTGTGTGACCGCATAGGAAAGAACCATGCGATCGCATGATTTAAAACTTGGGCAAGAGTAAAAATAATTTAGATACTCAATCACCAAATCATAATTTGTTATTCATCAAATAGAAGTTATAAGTAGTAAACTAACTATTAAATTATAATTATTGTGGGAATGATAATCCGGACTCATAAGTCGACCATCCACTATATTTTTTGTCACGATTTTGATCTTATGATTTATTTCATCAGAAATTTAGCAAAGATTGACTTCACACAAATTATAGAAGTGAAAGAACCATGCGATCGCATGATTTAAAACTTGGGCAAGAGTAAAAATAATTTAGATACTCAATCACCAAATCATAATTTGTTATTCATCAAATAGAAGTTATAAGTAGTAAACTAACTATTAAATTATAATTATTGTGGGAATGATAATCCGGACTCATAAGTCGACCATCCACTATATTTTTTGTCACGATTTTGATCTTATGATTTATTTCATCAGAAATTTAGCAAAGATTGACTTCACACAAATTATAGAAGTGAAATCACTCTTCGATTCAACTTCTTCACTAATTTGTCTAGATTTATTTTGTTAATAAATGAAGATATGTTGGAATTGTAGAAGTGAAATCACCCAACGTAAGCATAGATCGATACATCGAAAAACACAAAGAACAAATAATATAAAAATAATGAATCCTAATGTAAATAAAGTAGCACCAAAACTAAGTGATTCAAAAAAGGGCAAGCATGAGACTGCACTTCCGCGTGACCACCAAATATAGAAATATCTGCTGGTCGTGCAATGTCACACAAGATGAGACAGGCCAGGCGCATTGCCTGGGCTGTTCTATCCCCTTTTTCCGACCTTCTCTCTGTCTTCGTCCCTTTCAAATAATTGGATAATTTTTTAACATATTGGACATGGACACACTAAGTAGAAGTGTTCGTGCTTCATAGGTTAATTGGTCGGGTATCCATTTTTATATTATTGTTAATTGTCAGTAATGTAGTTTGTAAATGAATTATTGAGTTTGTTTCATGTTGCAATAGATTGATGTGTGGCTGAAATTGAAGAAAAAAAAAATTATAGATAGTTTTGAATGGGTAACAAGTCAAGGTTCATGTTCCTTTCCTTGGTAGGAATATATGTATTTAGTGGAACATAATTTTGAGTTCTTTGTATCCATGAATGAATGCATAGAGTGCATGTTATCCATATCTAAGCACCATCATCTGCCACCTCGGTAAGTGCAGCCAATCAAAACACAGTATGATATTACGCATCTTCACTTGGGACCAATGAATGAGAAGCTGACTTGGCATGTCTACATCCACGGATTCAGTGTATTTCAACTCACTCCCTCTTCCTCAATTCTCACTTCTCAATTCCGCAGAAATAAATTAACAATGGCTTCTCTTGGTGTGTCTGAAATGCTGGGTAACCCCCTTCACTTCAGTGTGGCATCCAGGTCTGCTCCTACACCTTCGAGCCGCCCGGCCACCACTTTCAAAACATTAGCCCTTTTCTCCAAGAAGCCTGCACCATCTCCAAAGGCTAAGCCTGCTGCTGTGTCCCCTATCGATGATGAACTCGCCAAGTGGTATGGTAAGCATCGATCAGCAAATGAAATCTAATTTATGTATTATCTTAGTTACACCGACTTTGAATACGCATACTTTGGTTTCAGGACCTGACAGAAGAATTTTCTTACCCGAGGGCCTTTTGGATAGATCAGAAATCCCCGAGTACCTCACTGGAGAAGTTCCCGGAGAGTAAGTTTTATAATTCTTGCCATAATGAAATCAGACTGTTCATGACTCAACTTCTTATGCATGCAGCTATGGCTATGATCCCTTTGGCCTCAGCAAAAAACCCGAAAACTTCGCAAAGTGAGTGAATTAATATTCTCACCTTTCTCTACTCATCATTAGCTAATGAAGTTAAGCTTGGATTGAAATTAATTGTGTTGTTATCCAGGTATCAAGCATATGAGTTGATCCATGCTAGATGGGCTATGCTTGGTGCTGCTGGATTTATCATCCCAGAAGCATTCAACAAATTTGGAGCCAACTGTGGCCCTGAAGCTGTTTGGTTCAAGGTACCTGCTATTTATTTATTAACTCCTCGGACCTCTTCTTTTTCATCATTAATCGTGATTCTATTGTTCTATTTCTACAGACTGGAGCCCTACTTCTTGATGGAAATACATTGAATTACTTCGGTAAGAACATTCCAATAAACCTCGTTGTTGCTGTGGTTGCTGAGGTTGTACTTGTTGGAGGTGCAGAGTATTACAGAATTATTAATGGCTTGGTATGTCCCAACAGTTTTTAAATCCAGTACGGCTATCTTCGGGTGTAATTGGCATTGGGTAACTAAAACAAAATCCACTATTTTCTGAATTGGGATTATGATTCATGTAGGATCTGGAGGACAAACTTCACCCGGGTGGTCCATTTGATCCACTGGGTCTTGCCAAGGATCCAGACCAGGCTGCATTATTGAAGGTGAAGGAGATCAAGAATGGTCGACTGGCCATGTTCTCTATGCTTGGTTTCTTTATCCAGGCATACGTGACTGGAAAGGGTCCTGTAGAAAACCTTGCAGCACATTTGAGTGATCCTTTCGGCAATAACTTGCTCACTGTTATTGCCGGAACTGCTGAAAGAGCTCCTACCCTGTAATTCACACATGTAGTTTGCAGATTGATGCTTAATATATATTGTACAATTATCTGTGACATTTTATCCTAGTAATTGATTGTAGTTGGGAACTCTTTTCATTTCGCTCATACAGCTTATACTATGGAACTCATCTGGGGCCAAATCTTACTCGTACCCATTGAAAATTGAACTTTGAACAAGATATGGATTCAATTTACACTTAAAAGATAGACATGATTCAGAATAATACAATGCAGTCGATAGATCTTTTATCTTTATGCAGCATGAAACACAGACTGCAATGGTAGAAAGAAAAATGAAGAGGCTTTAATGATGATGACACTGTTATACGTTAATGGATCACAACATAATGCTGCGTATATATATAACTGTAGTAGGGGAAAACAGTGTATACATTGAAGATTAGGGATCTGAATGCCATTAATTGAAGATTTCAGACCTGTTTTGCAAAAAATGCATATTTTCCCAACAAAATTTCAGTACGGTATATTGAAAAAATTTAACTTCGGCCACATAAATTGTACATATCAAAAGGTGAGATAATCTTTCAAGACCTGCCTAGCAAGATCAAATGCTCCACTTTTCTTATAGATTAAGTGTAAATTGTAAGCTGCTTCCCTACGAAGATCACAGTAGCCTGGCCTTTTATAATCCATAGGATCCTGATTCTCATTTGGAAGTTTTGGGATGGGATAATCCTTCTCAGGCATCGCCAATACCTTCTCATAGTATGTGGTAGCCAAAGAAACTAGACCAATATGATGATATGCCCGAGCAATGTTATATAATGCTTCCTGAAAATGAATTTTAACTTTCAGTATGCATGTTTGATAAGTAGTACTAGACATGACTAGATAGTATAACGAGCAAGATTTTAACGGATCAGAAACAAACCTGGCTGTTGTCACAAAGTCGGAAATTATTAAACAGGAATGCAAGTCCTTGTGCCATACACTGATGCTTGTTTTGAAGTCTGAGCCCAAGGGCTAAATTTATTAAGGAAGTTCCTAAGGGGGAAAAAAATGAATTTTCTTTCGTAACATTTAAAAATAATCAATTTCAAAGTTTGGTAAGTTTAGAAGCTTCCTTTTTTGTCACTTTTGAGGAAAAGATTCATACCCACACAAAGATTGATCAAGGGACTGTCTGGCATAAGTCTATAGGCTTCCAGATATTCTCGAGCAGCAGCCTGATGCTGACTTATCATGGTAAACATATGCGCAGAAATCATAATTGGTGGCACAGAATCTTTGTGCTTAACTCGCATGTTGTGTAAAAATTTGTTGTGCTTTGAATACCGATTATCCATTCTACACAAGATAAGAAAACCGATTGTTAAACAAACCTGCAAAGATACATGCAAACATAGATCAAAAACACCATATTGACATGGACATTAATTCCCAAAGATGAAAATGTGGTCCCATTTCTCAAGAAGATATAAAGTATGAGATGGTATTTGGTTGGCATGAAACACGTCATATAAATTGTTTGGCTCAAATTTTGTGCTGAAATGGATACATTTTTGGAACACACGTCATAATTTCAGTTACAATTTCTGTTTAAACAAAACGAATTATCTCATCAACGTTATGGTGCCCCCAAAATATAATAAATACCAGTTACACCATCTCCATATCCTAACCTAGATACCTGACAAAACCACAGAGTGATTTTACTAATTGCAAGAGCAAGAGAGGGCATAAGGATATTTCCAGAATAGTGGTAGGCGGCAAATGTGAATAAATTGTGGGGGAGGGGGGGAGGGGGGTTAGGGATTTCATGTCATTCATCCAGAAAATAGGAGAGAAGCTGAACCTCTCGAAAGTTCAGCAATCATTTATTTTCTACCGAGCATTCTGTTCAGCAAATTTAAAGATCTTATCAATAACTCCTCCCCAACCCCCCACACCCCCAAGAAATACCGCAAGAAATTCCATCTCAATTACCAACTCAACAAGAATACCAGCACAACCAATAAAAACAGTACTGGGAACCCCGCTTCTGCTGCCATGGATCACCATAAACGTACAGGACCACTACAAACCCACACAAAGCCTGAGGAAAAAAGAAAAATGTGCCACGGATCATGAAATTAATATTGCTCACCATTGCCAAAACCCATTTTTTCGTCTGTCTAGAACTACATTCCATGCCTTCTTCAGAACCTGCGGAACTACAGATTTGTTCTCCAGATCTGATGATGGAAGGATTTCAATGTACATCCCTCTTCATTGAACAATTTTTTTCACAGTAGTACCCATGTTAACTTCAGCATTACTAGAGACTAATTAGGATTCGTCAATTGACAAAATAAGAGATCAATATTTACACCATGTGAAAGTAACACCGTCGATAAATTAAGGGATCACAACCTAAAATGTCTAGCAAAGACATATCTAGCACAGACCTAAAGAAATTTCCATTCACAAGGACAATAATCCACTAAAACATGTTAGAAGAGTCAGAGGCAAACCAAACAAACATGGTCTAGTGTGGTTGCAAGAAACGAAAAAGAAAAATAGTATCATTGAACATTTCAGTATATGTATTATAAAAAAGGACACATGCAGCCTACTCCAAGTTTATTGGAAATAAGGGCCTAGCTTTAATGTATATCTTAAACAGAGTACAATATAATCTGATGGCCCGTGTCTGAGCAGAGCCAGGTTATTGTGAGAATACACATAAGTAAGATGCAAAGAAGTATTCTCTTAATTCTTAAAGCCACATCAACAAAGCAAACTAAATAACATTGACAAATGCACAAATGAGAGCACTAACCTCGACATAACTTTGTAGTAGCAATTCCAGGCAGAAAAGCTGTAAGGATGCCGACTCACAATGTAACGCACACAATCCCACCCATGTGCAGGATCTGAAATGTTATATGCTACTTCTACACAATATAAACATAATAAATGCTTTAGAACTTTCTTTTGTTATCTTGCATCCTACATCTATTACAATAATAATGAAAACATTGCATAAAAATTCACATAACGAAAGAAGAAGAACATGAAATAACCTCAATATTTAAAAATTCAAAACTTACGAGCTCCAAGAGTTCGAAGATCCTCCTTCCTTTCAGGAGACAATGTGTTGCATGCCAGTTTCAAACACAGGTTGATGATCTGTAAAGCATCCCAATACCTTTGCAAGGCTGACAAGGACTTGCATAACTATGTAAATATAACATAAAAAATATTTTTTCAGTTGGAGACAATTTAAGAATTATATAAAAGTATTGATAAAGAGAACATAAAATAGAAATTTATATTAAAATATGAGTCTGACCATGCAGCAATTCTCGATTTCCATTGGATGAGATTTAAATAGCCAATCAGAGAAAGAAAACTCATGATATAGAATAGTATTAGGACATTTTGGCTATGGCAAAAAAAATTAAAGAAGGCAATATTTTAGACTTCAGGATATCAATAAAATTGAGCAATCATGAACCTTGGAGCTGGTGTGAGTAGAGATCTTCTTATTAATATTGATTTGCATCAAAGTTCCAACCCAAGTCGAAAAAACCTAAGAGATGCATCTAAGTAGAGATGTCAACGAGCCGAGTCGAGTCGATGGGGTTTCTTTGGCCTGAGCCTGAGCAAAAGTTCAGCCAAAATTTTGAGGCTCGACCCGATCTTTTGACTCAAGCCGGGCCGACCAGTTTTTTTTTTTTTTTCCCATTTTTTTATTATAACACATTGCCTTTAAAAAGGCAGCGTGATGCATGCTGCCTTTAAAAAACCAGTTCTACGGACCGGCTTGGGCTTTTTTCGGGCAGAGCCATAGGCGGCCCTAGCCGATAAGCCAAATTGCCAATCCTATATCCAAGCTTATGTCCCTTAATGTGTGGTACCAAAGGATATAGTATTAACTGATTAAATTAACAGGATAAATCATACATTGGAACTTCGGAGAGCTTTCTAATCTAAAGGTAGATTAAGTAGAGTAGAGTTGCAACAAGATCCATATAATGCTCTTTAATCATAGCATATTTAAAGATAACAGTGGAATCACAGTAGAGGATCACATTGTCAATCGCTTCACGTAATCAGGTTCAATTTTCATTAAGGAATGAGATAAGATGTAAGGCATTAGTACTAGAGCTGGTTGGACAATGGACGAAGTGGAGAACTGTTGCAGGGATTAACATCTTCCAAGCTAAGTTGGTAACAACTATGCTTTGGACAACTGAGTTGGGTCACTAAACAACAAAATGTCTATATAACATAAACATAATAGGAATGAGAATAAGATGAAAAGGCGATCCCCTAAAATTGATCAATAAGAAATTAGGATATATGCTAAAAAAGATTTGACTTCATTAAACTTTTAGTATATGTAGCTTTGGATTGAACCAAATGGCAAAAGATAAAATTAAAATTAATAATAATAATAATAAATAAATTATTATTATTATTATTATTATTAGTGCCAAGGAAGTAAATCATGTAAATTAGGGAAGAGAATAACTAGAGTTTATTGTACTTCCATAATTTTTGTATTTCCATTTATGTCTACTCTCATTTTCTATATAATAAAGAAGTTGAGGGGAAGGAAGGAATTCTTCTTCTCTCACGTTTTCTCTACCAACCCTTTGTCAACATGGTATCAGAGCTTTGTTTCTAGGGTTTGGTATTCTCTAATCCTTCTAAGCGAATTGTCCCTCCGTTCCTTTCTTTTCTCCTTCTTTCTTCCTTCCTTCCTTTTCCCCTACTGAAAGTCCCGTTTTCGTCCCGTGTGGTGATCTCAACCTTCATGGTTGAAGAGTATTTGCTGGGTTGTTAAGAATAGTTGATGTCGACCGTACATGGTAGGTCGACTGGCAGAGTTCGATGGTTGTCATAGAGCTCATTGGCGGTAGAAAGTGATCGTCAATGGTGTAGCTTTATGTGTAGATTCTGATTCCTTCCTCTAGTGGTTAATTTGCAGCGAATTGTAGTGGGAATTCCTGAACGGTGACAACGTTCTTCTGTTGGCGATCGCGATTTTCGAAGACAGTGAATTGTGGGTAATTTCTGGGTTCGGTACTGTGCGTGGACTTTGTTTAGGTTTTGTTGGTTGGATCACAATACTTCATTGTTGGGCTTTGCTGTTTAACTCTATGGGCTCATCTAATTTTGGGCCTATTGGTTTGATCACTACTGGTGTTAATACTCAATTTGTGGACCTGTTTGATGATCTTTAATTTTTAGCTATTTGGTTAATATCATGTGTCATCTAAAATGGAGATATTCAATTTGACTGGACCGATGGTACCTGAAAAATTGAACGAAAGAAATTACACTTATTGGGCTAGGTGTGTCGAGGTTTTCTTGCGAGGTAAGGGTTTATACAATCACTTGATTTTAGACAAACCGTCTGTCAAATCCTCAAAATGTGATTCTGTAAAGGCTGATTCTACTCTCAACGATCGGTGGGATCAGGAAGATTACGCAATCATTGGATTTATGATCAGTAGTATTGAGCCTCACATGGGATCTTCGTCGCTCTATATGTCTACGGTTAAACAAATTTGGGAGCATCTTAAACATATACACTCTAGAACTGGGAATATTACTTGAATCTATGAGACTTGTAAACAATATTTTGAGCTTGAGAAGGGCTCCTCTAGTCTTGTTGAATATTATAATACACTTTTGACTGTATGTCTGGAAAGGAATGTGCATCAACCTCTCTCTTAATTTGAAGGTAATGGAAAAACAGCGGGAAGACATCGATGTCGTTAAGTTCCTTATTGGTCTTCCGCCAGAGTTTGAAGCAGTCCGAGCACAGATATTAGGTGGAAAAGAGCTTCCTAGTCTTCCAGAAACATTCTCTCGTATTCAACGCTCTACTCTCTCAGATAGTATACCCAGCGAAGATCATTCTGCTTTTATTATAGGGGGCGGCTCATTCGGGGGTGGACGTAACGGTCGTGGTGGACGCGGTGTTAGCTCTCGGGGTGGACGAGACACTAGAGGCAATAATCATTCAATAACTCGTGAACCTCGAAAATGTACTCACTGTGGTCGTGTAGGTCATTCCATTGATTACTGTTGGGACTTACATGGTAAACCATTTGGTTCTGTCAATCAGGTCTCGTCTAATGAGGATCGTCACCTAGTATTTGGACCAGTTGCTAACTCTAGTTCAACATCAGAATCTGATTTCTTGTCTATCGCGGGATGAGTGTGCAAAGTTTTTAGCTCATAAGCAGGCCACTTCCGGTTCTATGGCCACTCTCGCTCAGTCAGGTACTACGTCTACTCACTGTCTAATGTCATCCTCTCATAATTCGTGGATTCTCGATTCTAGAGCAACTGAACATATTACTGGTTCGTCTACTTATCTTCTTGATTATCATCCTACCACTTCTTCCAAATATGTCACTCTTGCTAACGGTTCCCGAACTAGTGTTGCAGGCTTAGGCAATGCCTACCTTAAACCTAATATTGATTTGTCGGTTGTTCTTCATGTTCCTGGCTTTCCCTTTAGTTTATTATCGATTAGCAAAATTACCACCTCTTAAATGTTCTATAACATTTTATCCATCTTTGTCCATTTTGGTCACCCTTCTATTTCTACTTTAAAACGTCAAGTTGTTAGTCATCGTAATGTGTCCTCTCTTCAATGTGAAGCTTGTTAGCTTAGTAAACATCACCGTGTCTTTTCCTTTACGAACTATTAATCTTATTTCTAGTTTATTTGAGACCGTTCATTCTGATATATGGGGACCAATTAAAGTTTTATCTAATAAATTTCAATATTTTGTTACATTTGTGGATGATTATTCTCGTCTGACTTGGTTATTCCTATTGAAAAATCGTTTTGAGTTACTGTCTATTTTTCAAGTTTTTCGTACTTTAATTAAAACTCAATTTAACCAAAAAATTCGTATTTTGCGATCTGATAATGCCAAAGAATATATGTCTGCCTCTTTTACATCATATTTTTGGGGTGATGCTATCTTTACTGCATACTATCTCATTAATCGCATGCCTTCCTCCATTTTGGAGGTGCGTCTCCCTTCTCTCTCGTATTTTCCTCCTCTCCACCGTATTCATTACCTCTCAAGATTTTTGGATGTGTTATGTTCATCAGTTCGGTCCTGATCGTGATAAACTCGACTCTCGCCCCATGAAATGTATTTTTCTTAATTACTCCCAAACACAAAAGGTACTACAATCCTTCTCTACAACGTTATCTTGTAAGTGCATATGTCACTTTTGACGAGTCCACATCCTAGTTCCCAAATCATAGTACGCCATTCGAATCCACTCGAGTCCCCATTAGCTTACCCGTACCATATCTACCTGTTGGTATTTTTCCAAAACTCGACTCCATCTACTGCACCGGAGTTGTCCTCCTCTCATAAGGAACCACCACCTCCTCTACAGGTTTATACTCGACGACCTAAGCCACCAACATCTGTGGCCCCATCTGTTACCTTACCGTCTACAAATCCTGCATCCATCACCTATTCTAATCCTAAGTCATTGCCCATTGTTCACCGTAAAGGTAAACGTACTTGTGTAACTAGACATCCTATTAGCCACTATGTTAATTTAGATTCGTTGTCACCTTTTCTTGTTTTACATCCTAGCTTTCTAATATTTTTGTACCTAAGACAGTGACAAAAGCTTTATCTAATCCTGGGTGGCGAAAGGCTATGGAATTAGAAATGACGGCCTTACACGAGAATAAGACTTGGGAACTCGTTCCTTCACCGGCTGGCATACGTCCTGTTGGTAACAAATGAATCTTTGTTCCGAAATTCAATCCTAATGGGACTGTTGATCGATTGAAAGCCCAACTAGTTGATAAAGGTCACACAGACATATGGCATTGATTATGATGAAACACTTTCCAGTTGCTAAGATCTCTTCTATTCGAGTTTTGATTTCTAATACTACTAACCTTGGTTGGCCCTTGTTTCAATTGGATGTTAAAAATACGTTCCTTCATGGTGACTTGCACGAAGAAGTTTATATGGAGCAACCACCTGGGTTTGTTGCTCAGAGGGAGTATCAAAACTATGTAAGTTGAAAAAGGCCCTATATGGGTTAAAACAATCACCAAGGGCATGGTTTGGGAAGTTTTCTGAGGTTGTTTTAGAATTTGGTCTTCAGAGATGTCAGACAGATCATTCAGTATTTCATCTACAAACTGGTGTAGGTTATGTTATCCTTAGAGTTTATGTAGATGATATCGTAATCACTGGTGATACAGATGGGATTTCTCAGTTGAAACAATTTCTACAAAAACATTTTCAGATCAAAGATCTAGGCAAGCTCCGATATTTCTTAGGCATTGAAGTTGCTAGGTCACGAGCAGGTATCAATTTATCTCAAAGATAATATGTACTTCATCTGCTAGATGAAACAGGTTGTCTTGGAACTTATCATGTTGATACTCCCATGGATCCTAATGTGAAGATTTTGAAGGATGAAGGAGAATTGTATGGAGAACCAGAAAAATATCGTCGTTTGGTTGGAGAAATAAATTACCTAACTATCACATGACCAAATATTTCCCATGCAGTGAATGTCATTAGTCAGTTTTTGGATACTCCTCGAGTTCCTCATTGGGAAGCTGTAATACGTATTATTCGGTACTTGAAAAAGGCTCCAGGTCTTGGATTATTATATAAACCGAATGGACATATAAGAATAGAAGGGTTTACAGATGCAGATTAGGCCAGATCCCCACCAGATAGGCAATCTATTACTGGTTTCTGTACTTTTCTCGATGGTAATCTTGTCTCTTGGAAAAGTAAGAAACAAACCGTAGTAACAAGGTCAAGTGCAGAAGCAGAATATAAGGCGATGGCTCATACTACAAGTGAGTTAACATGGTTATAGCACTTTCTTCAAGAAATCAATTTCTCACCTTCAACTCCTATTCCAATGTTTTGTGATAATCAGGTTGCCTTACATATTGCGTCTAATCCAGTCTTTCATGAGAAGACTAAACATATTGAAGTTGATTGTCACTTTGGCCGGGACAAAATATTGAGTGGTGATATATGTACACCATTTGTGAAGACAGAAAAGCAGCATGCTGATATGTTTACAAAGTCGTTGAATGGTAATCGGTTGAAGTTTCTTTGTTCCAAGCTAGGCTTATATGATATATATGCTCCAGCTTGAGGGGGAGTGTCAAGGAAGTAAATCACATAAATTAGGGAAGAGAATAACTAGAGTTTACTGTATTTCCATAATTTCTGTGTTTCCATTTATGTGTACTCTCGTTTTCTATATAATAAAGAAGAGGAGGGGAAGGAAGGAATTCTTCTTCTCTCACGTTTCCTCTACCAACCCTTTGTCAACAATTATTATTTTTTTTAAAGGATATTAGATCCAATCAATTCATGAACAAAATATGAGAAAAGCTAGGTAACAAACTTGTAGCAGAATTTCTCCGAGATACAAAGACAACAAACGGAAAGCTTCCGAAAAGAAAAAGTTGAAAATAAACATTCAAGTACACAAATGCATGGAGAGAGAGGAGAGATAGGCGGGGGGGCATGAGACTTACATCTATGATCAGATGATGGTGCTCTTCATTTTTTAGAAGAACCGGCAACGGAGGCTCGCGCAAATCTTGCTGCATAAGTTATTAGATGATTCTATCAAATCCTGTTAATCCAACAGAGAATAATTTTGGTTCAATTCACATAAAACTTTTAACTTCTTACGGGACACTCATCATCTGAATCATCACTCTTCCAATCAATCCCAGCAGCCAAAGCTGCAGCTTTTTTCTCTTCCTTTATTGTAGCCTTCTTCCGAAGCAACCTTTTTGCTCTGGAAGCTTTTGACCTGTTACATTGAAACAAGGAAATGATAATTATTCCACAATATATACGTGAAAATGAAGAAGAAGAAGAATATTGAAACTGGTAGCTTGTTATCGAGTGTAAGATAAAACACATTGAATGTGTAAAATTATGCTCATGACACCACTCTTTCAATATATGAAGCTAATGATGCACTAATAAAAAAATAAAAAATAAAAAAATTCCAACATAATAACTACATTACATCTTGTACAATTACAAATTTCTAAAGCTGGAACGGCAAATCATTCTGCAAAGCTGATTCCATTCTGCAAATCATTTTTTCAACTTTCACTACCCTTTTACTGAATGCTACATCTTAATTTTGCCTCCCTTTAACAAATGCACCCTCATTGTAAGTAACTGTATGCTCCAAAACTTCTCTCTATCTGTTATAGCTAATACTTTGGGGATAATCTTGCACAAACATGACACCATACTAATTTGGATGAATACATTTAGCACAATCAAAATCATTTCACCATGTAATTTGTCATCAATCTAATCCATATTGAATGCTGCTTGAAAATTCAAACACGTTCTCAACTTATAAATAGAACTTTGAGGTGAAAAAATGACACAAATAGCCAAGCACACACAATATTCATACAATACAATTTAGGCTCTATTTGAGCGCCATTTTTTGGGAGAACAAATTTTGCAATTTTTTTTTTTTTTTTTTGGTGTATTCCATTCTAAGGTAGATACGAGTTTTTAAACCTATTTATCTACCTAGAATGGATCGTTTGATGTTGCCTTCTACCCCAGTATATTGATACGCAAAAGAGTACATGAAGGGAGATATAGACTTTATCTTCCAAAAGTTATGAGAGTTTACAATAGCGTTTGAAGATTTACAATTGCAATGAAAACAAGACACATGTACAAATGAATAAAGCAATTTCAAATATTTCGAAAAATAATT